ATGCCTTTTGAGGGGAGGAATGGGAAGGGGTGGGGGCTTAGTGTACAAGGCGCACACTGATTGGTGGCTTACTGTATGGTCCATATAGGGCAAGGGCTTAGGGTATTTGGCAGGTGTGGATTGGTGGTCCAATGTATAGTCCATATAAGGTACCTGGTTAGTCACTCAGGTATTTCCAGGCTGCAGGTTACGTCATACTCCGCCCACAAGTTGGGGGAAAGGAGAATCTATCAGCTATAACCACTCTTTGTTATTGATGTTTCATTTTTGCTATGTTCTTTCCTTTAGAAAGTTTCTTCTTTCTAAATAGCCAAGTCTTGCATAATGGATATATACCTTGTCCTTATATGATGAATACTATTACACCTAAAAATGTTATCAATTTATTGATCCTCTTATTAGTATGAAATTTAGTGTAGAAAAGACCAGTTTATGCACTGCTTATGTGGAAATATTGACTTAGTTACTTTGTGACTTTCTATATTGATTTGGGCAACCCTTTTCTAAAACCTCCCTGTGTTTCTGGGGTCTAGGATTATGGTTATTCTTCCTGTGGTTATTCTTCCTTACAAACCCATCCTGTTCTGGTTAGTAATATCACCTTGCCATCCTTGGGTTGGTAAGCACTTCAGAAATATAACCCCCCGTTGCTTTATTTCTAAACTGTGGGGCATAAATCTAAGTGCTAATTCTGCCGTTTGATGGCAATGACTTAAGAGTTCCAACCAGACCCTGGAAGCTCGGCCTAGGGTAGCTCAGTTGGTAGAACGTCCCACGCCGAGGCTTCCGGTTCCATCTCCGGTCAGGGCACATACAAGAATCAACCAACGAATGCATATATATGTGGAACAACAAGTTGATGTTTCTCTCTTAAGATCAATAACTAAAAAAATTTAAAAACAAAAGAGCTCCAACCAGAAGACGAACTTCAACAGAAACTGTTGTGCTGAGTTGTCCTCCATTTCACTCGCTTCTACGGGGACATTTTGATTCCAGAGAAGTCAGGGTAAATGGGTTCCCCCAAAGCTTCCCTCGGACCTCCCAAAGGGTTCACACACAAGTGTTGGCTATTGGTTTTTGAAATAACTGCACAATCATTTTCCTGTCAGTAATTTTTAGGTTTCCAGGAAAGTCTAGTGCCCAGAAGGGAGGAGGCTGTAGGCGGGAGAGGGCCTGGGAAGTGGAGGCTACCCCGTCTCTCTGTCTTTTCCAGACTGGCCATGTCATCTCGCAATCAGAGTTGGATTTCCGGTCTGGAGGATAATGGTAGGGAGGAGCTGCGCAGAAGGCTTCTGCGTATTGATTCAAACCTTGGAGACCTAGAGGTGCAAAAATTGAAATTTCTCTGCCGAGACTTAATCCCCAACGGGAAGCTGGAGGCCAGCTCGGCCTTAGATATTTTTGACCATCTCATCAACGAGGAGCTGCTGAGTGAGGAAGACACCTTCCTCCTGGCGGAACTCCTCTACATCATGAAGCAGAACTCGCTGCTGAGGCACCTCGGCTACACCAAAGAGCAAGTGAAAGGTCTGCTGCTCACCCGGAAGCAGGTCTCCTCGTTCAGGTGAGGAAGGGACTGCCATCAGGCAGAATGGGTGTCCAGTTAGGGGTCATTCATGCCACTGGGCCTCGGAAGGAGACTGGGGTTTCCTCATAGGATCTCACTCATATGTGGAAGGTAATGAACCAAATACACCGATGATCAAAAATAGACCCAGAGACATAGAAGCATGAACCTCAGAGGGAAGGCGGGGGGAGGGGGAGGGAGAACAACCAAAGAACGTGTATGCATGGATGCATAACCCATGGACACAGACAATAGGGTGGTGAGGGCCTAAGGGGCAGGGGACGGGAGAGGGCTGGAAGAGGTTAATGGGGGAAAAAGGAGGGCCTATGTAATACTTTCAACAATAAAGATTAAAAAAAAAGAAGAAGAAGAAAGAAAGGAGACTGGGATTAAGATCTCTTGGGTCTCTTTCTTATCGACCTCCTTGGGTGTCTCTGATCAGCAACACTAGGAGATTTCTCAGGTCTAGGTACCATTGAGGTGAAACGCTGGGATTCTCGGGCCTGGCAGTGGCTTCCCTCAGCTTCGTATCTCACTGCCAAGGGAAGCCCCAGCACAGCAGGCCCATGCGTTCCTCCTTCCCAGTCTGCAGGCCCTCAGACAGTCCTCTCTTCTGGGTGTGTCTGCCTATATTCAGTGATTTGAGAAGGAAAGAATGCATAATAAGCAGAGTGAAATGCCTCTGTGTGAGGGAGGGATGTCATTCATGGCATGTCTGGTTACATGTTTTGGGTGAGAGAGGTAAAATACAGACATCAGGCCTGTTGTGGTCAGACCTTAGACACCACTGTTTTACATGGTCCCGGACATCGTAGCTGCAGAGACCCTCACAAGGAGGAGCCTTCGAAGTGCGGTTTTATCGAATTGCCTGGGTGATTATGTCCTTCAGGCTTTAACATTTGGACTGGCTCCCAGAACCTGAGCTACCCTCGCTCGGCTCAGTGAGGGGATGCCGGAAATCCTTACTTCCACTCTGCTGTTCAACTACTGAGGGCTGGTCCCTGGCGTGCAGAGGCATCAGTGTGCGAGTGAAATAAATGTTCAGCTTTTCTGGTGATTCACTATATGACTACCCAGAAGTCGGGGTATTGTCCTTTCTCTTTCAAGAGTCGACTTGACATTGCCGAGCATCAGGTTCTCTGTGACAAGGGCCTGTAGAATAACCCAGAATTCCTCCAGTGGAGTTGGGAGATGGAAGGCCAAAATTGTGTTCTATGCTTTCCTGGCACTGGACTTGGAACCAGAAGGCCTGTCCCTACTGTTTACTGTGTTATCTTAATTTAAGAGGCCAGATTGAAGCTCAAAGTTTTAGTTTTTGAATCTATACAATGGGATTAATCACAGGGCTGTGGTCACGTACCCGAGAGAGAACATTTATAGATGCACTAGATTCACAGTGCTGTCCTCTGCACGTGTGAGGCTTCATTTGTCTCTTTGGGTGTGTGTCTTAGAAACCTGCTCTATGAACTGTCAGAAGACATCGACTCAGAGAACTTGAAGGGCATGATCTTCATGATGAAGGATTTCTTGCCGAAAGTCGAGATGCTGGTGAGTGGGTCATAAAGAGTGGGGTCTCTGTGAGCATCGCTTTAATCTGCGTTTGGGAAGATGCTGGGGAGGGTTTTCAAGATGGTGTATTTTTTGTGGGAGACAATATCATCAAAGGTTAGGAATATTGACATTGGTGTCGAACGGGCCTGGATTCTAGCGCTGGTTCTGCAACCAATTTCTCTATATGTGAGGCTAGTGATCAAAGATTTCTGAGTCTCCATTTTCTCATGTACCATGCCAGCTCCTTCCAGCACTGTTGAGGGGATTCAAGAAAATAATGTACACGAGGCATGAGCATAGGGCCCGTATTTGACAAACAGTAACCTTGCAGTAAGTGATTAACTGCTACTGACATCCACTATGTTTTATGATACAGAAATGTCCAGGGCACAGCCAAGAAATGAGGAGGTGGGGAAAAAAGGCAGAGTGGGACTCATCGCTCGTCACCTACACTAATCGAGGTGTCTGAGGGAACCGTGTGTCCTTTCCTGTGGACTTCACAGGGTCTCCCATGTAAGGTTTCTGTGGAAATCAAATGAAACAGTTTGAAGATGTGCTTTTCAAAGAGCTATATAGGTGCTTTGAACTAATAGTAATGCTTTTAATGGTAATATAATGCTCTTTGCTAATATTCTTTTTTTTAAATTAAATCTTTATTGTTCAGATTATTACATTGGTTCCTCTTTTTCCCACCATAACTCCCCTCCACCCAGTTCCCACCTCACCCTCCGCCCTCACCTCCACCCACTGTCCTCATCCATAGGTGTGCAATTATTGTCCAATCTATTCCCGCACCCCCACACCTCCTCCCCCCTCCCCCCCAGGAATAGTCAGTCCATTCCCTTCCTATGTCCCTGATTCTATTATAATCACCAGTTCATACTGCTCATCAGGTTATTTATTCACTTGATTTTTAGATTCAGTTGTTGATAGATGTGTATTTGTTGTTCATAATTTGTATCTTTACCTTTTTCTTCTTCTTCCTCTTCTTAAAGGATACCTTTCAGCATTTCATATAATACTGGTTTGGTGGTGATGAACTCTAGCTTTTTCTTATCTGTGAAGCTCTTTATCTGGCCTTCACTTCTGAATGATAGCTTTGCTGGATAAAGTAATCTTGGTTGTAGGTTCTTGGTATTCATCACTTTGAATATTTCTTGCCACTCCCTTCTGGCCTGCAGAGTTTCTGTTGAGAAATCAGCTGACAGTCGTATGGGTTTTCCCTTGTAGGTAACTGATTTTCTTTCTCTTGCTGCTTTTAGGATTCTCTCCTTGTCTTTTGCTCTTGGCATTTTAATTATGATGTGTCTTGGTGTGGTCCTTTTTGGATTCCTTTTGTTTGGGGTTCTCTGTGCTTCCCGGACTTGTAAGTCTATTTCTTTCACCAGGTAGGGGAAGTTTTCTGTCATTATTTTTTTTCAAATAGGTTTTCAATATCTTGCTCTCTCTCTTCTTCTGGCACCCCTATAATTCTGATGTTGGTGCGCTTGAAGTTGTCCCAGAGGCTCCTTACACTATCTTCTTATTTTTGGATTCTTTTTTCATTTTGCTTTTCTGGTTGGGTGTTTTTTGCTTCTTCGTATTTCAAATCTTTGACTTGATTCTTGCGATCCTCTGGTCTGCTGTTGGGAGTCTGTATAATATTCTTTATTTCAGTCAGTGAATGCTTAATTTCTAGTTGGTTCTTTATCACAATATCGTGGGTCTCACTAGATTTCTTGAGGATCTCACTATATTTATCGGCGGTCTCACCAGTCTTTTCGAGCGTCTTACTAAATTTATCGGCGGCTTCTAGACAGTTCTTTAAAGACCTTAAAAGTGTGGTTTTGAACTCTATATCCAGCAGTTTGCTTTCCTCCATTTCTGTCATTTGTGTCCTGTTTCTTAGTGTTGGCATTTTTTATGCTTCACTGTGTCGATAGAGTGGCTTTCTGTGCTAAGTGTCCCAGTTACCTGAGGTAGACACTCTTGGTGCACCCCCTTGTGGGCTTTGTGCACAGTCTTGTTGTAGTTAAGCCTTGATTGTTGTAGGTAAACCTGGGAGGATTTGACCTCCAGGCCAATTGGCGATGAGAATCAGCTGTGTCTACGGTGGGAGAACTTCTGTGCTGGAGACACCCTTCTGGGGCAAGACTTGCTTCAGTGGGGCTTTGGTGCTCACTGAGTCTGCCCCCTGAGTGTGTCCCTTATGGATCTGAGTTGTAATTGGAAAGTCCCACTCTGACCCCTGGGTACACTGGCTCTTGGATCTAAGGAGGTGCTAATCTAGCCTCTGACTGCAGTTATCCAGCTGTAAAGCAATGCAAGTTGCCCTGGAGCCTTGGGGCAGCTGCAGTTAAATTATTTTCAGATTACAAAGGGCCGGGCCTTTCACATGCAAAAGCCTCCTTGCTCACCTTGGGTGGGGGCGGGGTCCCAGGGGATCAACAGGGTGGGCCGAGTGTGCCAGCAGTATGGCTGCTCTCAGTCCTGCTTTCAAAGGTCCTGGCTATTGCTGGGAGTGCCTCCGAGAGAAAGCTGCCCTCAAGGTCCGACCGATGCCAGACAGTCCCGTTTCTCCCGTATGAGTCTGGGTCCCCAAAGACTTGCCGGGAACTGGAGCTCAGAGCCTGAGACTCCCTCCCGATTGAAAAAGACAATCCTGTCCTCAGCTGCCAGCCCTCTCCGCATGCACCACCGTACCTTTTTTCAGCACCGCACCTCCTCTGAATCTCGGTATGCTTTTCTCTTTCCTTCTAGTTGTAGAAATTCCACTCGCACAGCCTTCCTGTGGTTCTGGATGATGTCTATTATGTCTTTTAGTTGTATTTTTGAAGTGGTTGTGCGAGGCAGCAATCTCTGGTGTTTACCTATGCTGCCATCTTTGTTTCCCTCCCTAATATTCTTACTGTATTGGCCATATTTACTAATATTCTTGCTATATTGGTGGTGAAGTAATTGCGTGTCTCTCTTCTGGGCTTCAAGACTTTATAGTTTCTCTTTTGACTCCAATAGCAGCTTGTGGCAAACAAGTTAGTTGATTTCTGAAGGCACCAATTTTCAAACTTTACCCTGTAACATGACTTTGTGTTATTTAACCGCTCCTTTAATTAGATTCTACGTTGTATAACATTTCATAACATACAAAAATACATGTGGCATATGGAAGTTATGAAATGTAGCACTAAGTGAACAGCCATAAATTCCCCCATTCAACTTATGAATGAGAACCTCACCAGTTCTCTGAGCCTTCATGTGCAGCCACCATGCCACATTCTCTCTGAGCAACTGATATTAAATAACTTAAAAAAATAACCAAGGAATGGGAAGCTGTGTTACATGTGGTAGGTCAAATGAACACCTTGCTAGTAATTCATTAAACGTGTTTCTTGGTGTCAGACCTATAGACCTGAGTAGGTTATGTCTCTGTTTTGGCCAGAATCTTTGAGTCCCTTTTTCCCCTTTTCAGAGCCCTCAGGGATTTAAGCCTTTTGTGTCCTTTGGTTGGTTATCTCTAGAGGTCCTTTTCTCCCAAAGATTGGTTGTGAGTTCCTTGGGGGTGGGGCTGAATCTAATCATCATTATCGCCCCAGAACCTTGTGATGCAATCTACCCCTTTCTCTTTTCTTCTGAAAAAAAAAAAAGAAAAGAAAAAGGCCTGAACTTTCTGTTTATGTGATTTTACAACGAATAACTGGGGGGATTGGCAGGATGAACTAAACCACCATGATGGGGGTGTGCAAAGATATATTTATGGCATTCTCGTTGTTGCCCCTTGTCAGAATCTATTAATTTTCTTCCTTAGATAAGATAGCCCTGGGAGTTTTGATAGCTTCCTGTTATTGTGTTATTTTTTTAACACTTTTTGTTGTTGTTTTGTTGTTACCCGAGAACATTTTTCTCCATTGATTTTTAGAGAGACTGGACACAGAGAGAGAAATTTCGATGCGAGAGAGACACATCGATTGGTTGCCTCCAGCACACACCCTGATGGGTGGAGGGTGGGGGGAGGGGGGAGGGGCAAAAATCCAGCCTACAACCAAGGTATGAGCCCTTGACTGGAATCCAACCTGCGACCCTTCAGTCTGTGGGCCAACGCTCTAACCATCGAGCCAAACTGGGTAGGGATTTTCTTTTTACTTCTTCTTGAAAAACACACATCAAAATATAAGTACAGAAAAATGACACAAAACAAACATACAACTAAATAAATTATTATAAGGCTAATATCCTTGAAACCACTACCCAGGATAAGAAATTGAATTTTGCTAGCCCTTCCAGAAACCCCTCCATGTGCCCCATCCCAATCACAGCCCCTTCCCCTCCCCTAGAAGCATCCACTGTCCTGGCTTTTACAGTAACCAGGGTCTTATGTTTCTTTATGGTTGTATCACCTACCTGTGCATCTCCAGACCTCAATTTAGTCTTGTCCAGTTTTTTTCTTTGAAGTGTCCTTTAATCTATAGGTTAAACTCCCCTCCCACAATCCCTTTCTTTTGTTTAAAATGTGTTGAAGACCCTGAGGACAATTGGCCCATAGAATTTCCCCTCGTCTAGGTTTTGCTAATGTGTGTGCTTGGTGCAGTGCAGCAAGCTCTTCTATCTTCTGCTTTTCCTGAAAATTGGCAACTGAATTCAGAGGCTTCAACAGACTCAGGTTAAATCCTCTTGACAAGAACATAGTGGTCTTTTGTTGCATTCTTTCATTGGGAGGTCCAGAAATCTTGGTTTTCTCTCTCTTTTTTTACTCCTGACCTTAGGAAATGTTTGCATTGATTTGGGGGCGGGGAGGGAGAGAGAGAAACAACAACACATGGATGTGAGAGAGAAACACTGATTGGCTGCCTCCTGTATTCGCCCCGCTGCCTGGAGACTGAACCTGCAACCTGGGTGTGCGCCCTGACCAAATCGAACCTGCCACCTCTTTGTGTACAGGACAGCGCTCCAACCAGCCGATCCACACCGGCCAGGGTCTCTCTTTTTTGATATTAGCAACTATTGATATTTAACGGTTTTATATGTTGACTCTTTGGGGGTTGCAAAATGGGATTTTTGAATTCTGTAATTTGTTCCCCCCTTGTCTATTTGGTTACCTGGTGATACAGTTTATATTTAAATCTTAGATTCTTTTATTTGCCCAGTGTTTATGATAACTGACTGGTTCTCTGTCATTCTCTGAACGTGACCTATTATAAAAAACAAGTTTGAATTCATAGATTGAAACATATTTGATGGGTTTCAGTCTATTGCAATTATTACCCGCATTGAAGTTCACATTGTACCATTTTTGCCCAGTGGTAGCCTCTTCAAGTTGGTTCCTGTGTCATTTTTACATGAATTCAGTGTGATTATTTACAACAGTTGAAAATTTATTTTGAATGTACTATACTTATTATCTCCCCCCCCCCTTTTTTGGTTGCAATATATCTACATTGTTAGAGTACATGGCCACATGTGTATATACTACACAATCTTCTTTAACATTTTTATTTATTTTATGTTTATACTTTCTTTTAATCTTCATTTAGTTCTCTCTCTACAATTAAATATAAATGTGTGGAAACCTAGAATACCCTACAAAGGTCATTTTTGTTTCACTGGCCAGTAAAGAATTTATTTCTCAGGTCAAATTTTTTGCAATTGCAATTGCAGGTAATGTAGCCTTAAGCAGTTTGGCAGTAGAGAGAAGGAGGAAGTTAGAGCACTTAATAGACTGCGTCATATATATACACACACTCCAATGAACTCGTCCTCATCCTTATGTTACTGCTCTAACTTCCTCCTTCTCTCTACTGCCAAACTGCTTGAAAGAATAGTCTCCACACACCCTTCCTAAACTCACTCAATTCTCGATCACATCCCATGCATTCCAGTTTGGCCTCAGCTTTCATCACTCCAGCCATACTATTCCTGCTGAAGTCACCACACAAGCCCACATAAGCGGATTTTTAGTTTCCCATCATTTCCCCACATGGTTTTCTTTGCCTGGAATGTCCTTTTCCATGTTGGCAGTGAAGCATTAGTCATCCTCCAAGGTGCAATTCGAGTCTCACCTCTTGTGTGCAGCTGTGTGAAGCCTGCTATGTCAAATAGATGATACATTATTGAGTGGCATCAACATTTAAGTCATCTTTGACTCTTTCTTCACTTCTTCACCCACTCCCAATTGAACTTCAAAACTCACCAAATTGCAACTCAGAAATGGTCTCAAGTCCATGCCTCCTCTGCATTTCCACCACCAGGTCTTGAGCATCTCTTCACCAGAGTATTTAACCTTTCTGCCTATATTTTCTCTCGAATCCATTCCTTCTCCAACCTATTCCCAAAGTCTCCTATTTAAAAACAAATCTATTCATGTTACTCTTCTTAAAAACTACTATTGGCACCCCTTTGTCCATGGGATACTTGCCCAAATTTCTACATGGTGTGTGTGTGTGTGTTCTTTCACCGTCTCTTATCAGCCCATTGCTCCAGCCATGACCTGGCTCTCACCCATGGTTTGTGCTCAAAGCCTTCTTCTCAATATCCTGCACACACTGTCCCTTTTTGGCTGTTCAACCATCCATCATGTCTAGAGACCTCTTCCCCAGATCCCACTTTGCTAATAGTGTTCACTTTCTGAATATTTCCCTTTTTTCTGGGGGCTCTAGTATAACTTTGTATATATATATATATATATATATATATATATTTGTTTGTTTGTTTGTTTGTTTTTTTTTTTTTTCAGAACCAGCTTAATACATTGAGAAGCCCTAATCATTGAAAAGATTTGGTGCCTTCTATCCCATATGTAATTCAATATTAAAATAAAACTAGCCAATTTGCAGCTTTTCCCAGGAGTACTTTCAAGATTTTTCTTTTAAAATACAAAATATAGCATTCTTTCAAAATATTTTATGCTCATTTCCTTGGTGCCTCTATTTTGCTGCCGAGTTAAAGGTAGTACAGCTCAATGGTTAATAAAGGAGACTTTCACTGTCACTTACTGGCTCTGTGACCTTGGACAAGTTGTCGACTCTGTGCTTCAGCTGTTTCATTTTTAAAATGGAGATTGTAGTAGTATCTACCTCACTGAGTTGTTTTTGAGGTTAATATATGGCAGGCACTGAATGGCATGTAGTATTCAGGGTGTCTCAGAAAATGTATACACACTTTGAATAGTTATAAAGGCAGTGTTTATTAAGATACATTTCATTTTCAAAATGCAATTGAAATTACAGTCATGATGTGTATACATTTTGGGGGAGACACCATATATACTAGTATACTGGCTTTTGATATGAATACAGATTGTATAGAGATTGACTTGGTCATACCTCTTCCCCCACACTATTGAACTCCTCTGGGATAAACAATCTACCTTATTCATCCATGCAAAACCTGATGCCTCGTGGCCACGTAGGCAGTGTTTAATGAATGAACGGATAATCAGTAGGCAAGTAAATGTGATGCCATTGATTCTCTTGCAGACCTCTCTAAGTTTCCTGGAACATCTGGAGAAACAAGCTAAAATAGATGCAGATGATGTGACCTTACTGGAGAATCTCTGCAACACTGTTGCGCCTCATCTTATGAGAACGATAGAAAAATATAAAAGAGAGAAGAAAGGTAACTGACCATGGGAATTCGTAAATTAACTGGTCACGTGTGATGTTATCAGTCTGATAATATTCTCTGGGAAAGCCAGAACTCTCCTGAGCTCGTTTATTCAACTCATTGATTGAGTGCAGACTTTGTGCAAGACACAGTTTTAGAAGCTCCTGTTGGGAACTTGTATTTTAGTGGAGAAAGTACTTTTAGACAAATATCTTCTTCTTATTCTTATGTAGGAGTGAGAGTTAGAATGAAATAACAAAAAAGGAGGCAGGATAGCACAGGGAGTATGCTATGGAGTCAGATTGCCAGGGCACCATTTATTAGTGGTGCTGTGGCCCCTGCCTTAGCATTTTTACGCCACACTTTCCCTATCTACAAAATGAGGTAATGATAGTACTCGCCTTATGGTTTTTCTTGAAGATATGAGTTTTATTGTGTTTTAATTAATTTATTTATTGTTAATCCCCGTCCAAGGATATTTTCCCATTGATTTTTAGAGAGAGTGAAGGGAGGGGGAGAGACAGAGATAGAGAGAAACATCGATGTGAGAGAGACACATTGATTGGTTGCCTCCTGCATGTGCCTCTACCAGGGCCGGGGATCGAGCCTGTAACCCAGGTACTTGCCCTTGATGGGGAATCAAACCCAGGACCCTTCAGTCCGAGGGCTGACACTATCCACTGAGCCAAACTGGCTAGGACTTGAAGCTATGCATTTTCTAATTCCTATGAAATGCATGTCTGGCACAGAATAAAGCACTCAATACATGTTGCTATGTATATGTTAGTCAGAGAGGAGAGTCATGAAAACGTTCCTATGGTACTCTCAGAAATTACTATCAGAGAAGAAATTTATTATTCTACCTTTCTGTTTTGTAAAGGTAGGATTGCTTTGGTATAGAGGCAATAGCACAGGGCAGAAACCAAACCTGGCTGCCTCACCATGTATCAACTTGTGTTTCTCTGGGTCTATTTCTCCACTGTTAAACAAGAGCTACAGATAAAAACTCCTGACTATATTTAGGAAGCCTTTATGCCACACCCATAATTACTTGAGTGAGTCAATCTAGTGAGCAAATTTCTGTGGTTGAAAATGAAACTAGCCAAAAGGAAACCCCTCTCTAAGAATTCTCTAAATACAAGATGAACTTTGGAACAAAATATATTGTTGTTAAAATGATAAACTCTCAAACCACAACTACAGCAATGAATGAATGTATAATTTAAGTAAAAGTTATGAAGAAAAAAATGCAGGTCTTCTAACCAGCATGGTATCAAGTGAGAAATAAAAAGCAGGAAGTTGATGTCGAAAGTATATTTGGAATCCTCATCTGAACTCTGAGGTTTTGTTTTCCGATCACATTGCCATTTTCTTGTCATGTACCCGACACGAGGTAGACACAGGGCATGTGGGTAGAACTCTAGTTTTCATGTAGTAAGTGTCTCCATGAGTCTTGAGGGCTGAGCTTTAGATCAGAAGAATTCTAATTTTGACTTTTCTTTTCCACAACCTACCTGCTGTGTGGTCTCCTTTGGGTGTTGAAAGAAAAACTCGTGTTTTCTTCTACTAGCCCACCAGCACCCCAGGAACACCTCTGCCCCCAGATGTGTGAGGTTTTCCAGACCCAACAATTCTCTGTGGAAACAAAATGTGTGTCGTACGTTTGACTCACTTTTGACACGAACCAGAGTTAGCGCAGACCCTAAAGCCATTAGTGAAGGTCTCAGGCCCCCAAGACTGTCCCCTGCTTCAGATGCGAATTACAAGCAGTGGGTTCCCTGAGTACGCCACTGTTTGGAGTATGTTTTTGTAGCCTTTATTCTTTTTTTAAAATTTAATTTAATTTAAATTTTTAAAATACATTTTTTATTGTTGATAGCATGACAGATATCTCCCATTTCCCCTTCTTTACCCACCTACTCCCAGCCCCTCCCCTCCCCCTAGGTCTTCACCACCCTCTTGCCCATGTCCATGGGCTATGCATAAAAGTGTGTAAGTTCTTTGGTTTAGCTCTTCTTGTCCGCCCACCCCACATTGAGATATGTCAGTCTGTTCTATGCCTCTATACTTTGGGTCCTATTTTGTTGGTCAATTCATTTTTTCCATTAGATTCCTCATGTAGCCTTTCTTCTTTATAGAGACAATTGTGTGTGCGTGTGTGTGAAGATTAATATATATTTAAGTAAGATCATGCTAATCATATTCCATAATTTACTTTATTCTTACCTAATATATCTGACATTTTCCCATAGCTCATTTTTGTTAATGGTTCCATAGAAATATATTTTATGTACGTATCATATTTATTTAATTACCACTTTATAAAGCTGTGGTACATTTACACAATGGAATACTACGTGGCTGTAAAAAAGAAGGAAATCTTACCCTTTTTGACAGCATGGATGGACCAGGAGAGTATGATCCTAAGCCAGTCAGAGAAAGACAAGTACCACATGATCTCACTAATACGTGGAGTCTAATGAACAAAATAAACTGATGAACAAAATGGATACATGGAATAGACTGGCTGGTGCCCGAGGGAGGGGCTAGGAGTGACTGGATAATGCGCAAAGGGATTAGCTAAAGAACATGTATGCATGGACATGGACAATAGTGTGGTGAAGGCCAAGGGAGGGGGCAGAGGAGGGTGGAGGTGGGCAAAGGGGCGGGAAAGGGGGACATCTGCAATAACGTCAACATTAAAAATCTTTAGTAAAAAATGTATTAAAGACTAAACATTGACCTAGGAAAAAGGATTTTCTTTTTTCTCTCTCCCTTCTTTCCCCTTCCTTACTTCTTTCTTTCCTTCCTTTTCTTTTTTCTTTCCTGTTCTTTTTCCTTCTTTTTCTTTTTGTTATTATAGTCTGAGTTCTGGCTCTGATGCTTGAGGCAATGCTTTTGTGATCTCTAGTTGGCAATTATCTGACATAGTAAGCACCATGCGTTTGGAAATGGAATCTAGTAAAGTATTTAACAAATTTTAAGAACTAACAAAATTATTAAAATAATAAAAACAAAAACAATAAGAAATGAAATAGACTAATACAAGGACTGAAAATATAATGGTAAATAAAAATAATTTATTATAAGTTCAAATTTTTTCCCCTGAGTATATATGTAGGTCTCTTTAAGCAAATGGCATTACAAATCTATAGGTTTCTGTAAAATAATTTATTTTGCTGGTTGGTTACCTTGAACTGCTGCTGGTCAGATTGTTGTTTTCTGATCTGTGATTCTATTTGCTGCCTCCTAGGTAGTGACATTTCCTTAGATCAGGAAAGTGAATCATTACCTTAAGGAGAGGGAGAAATAACTTTTTTACTCTGTCTAGAGTAAATGCCAGCCTTGTTTAGAATATTCAAGTACAAAAAATAAAAAATTTTATACCTATGACTGTTAAAAAAAAGTTAATTGTTCTGAGAATACTACTAAGGCACTGAATTAAAACATCCCTTGAGATGTGAATTACCTAAAATTTCATATCTTTAATATTCAAATGTTCATAGTTATTTTCTTAGAAATATTTTATAAATTGAAATTAGAGAGAGGAAGGGAGGGATGGGGGGGGGAGGGAGAGAGAGAGAGAGAGAAAGAAATATCCATGTGGGAGAGAAACATCTCTCACTCACCCCAACCAGGAATCAAACCCGCAACCTGGGTATGTGTCCTGACCGGGAATCGAACCCTCTGCCTTTTGGTGTATGTTCCAACCAACAGAGCCACACTGGCCAGGGAAAGAAATACTTTTAATAAGATGATTCAATCTTATTATTTTTTTCTCTGGAATACAGAGTTTTAAGCAGCAAATATGTAATACATCCTAGTGAAAATACTGTGATAACACCTAAGTTCAAAGGCACTTATCACTAGAAAAAAGGTTTATATACTTGGATGTTTTTACTTTTAAACATATTTTGTCTCATCACAATAATACTTGAACCACAATAAGGCATATTGAAGCATGGAAGGCCATCATCTATAATAATAAAAGGGTAATATGCTAATTAGACCGGACGTGCTTCCACACAACTTTCAGGACAAAGCCGGGGCTGCGAGGGAAGCCTGGGTCCCAGGTGCCTGCGGGCAGCTGGAGGGAAGCCTTGGTCCTAAGTGCCAGAGGGAAGCCGGTGCCGGCAGCCAGGGGAAGGAAGGCCTACTCTTGCACGAATTTCATGCATCGGGCCTCTAGTGTTATATAAAATTTGATACAAAAACTTAGGATCATGTTATAAATTAGAAAATCACGTCAAAAATGTAAAAGTCATATAAACTTGAAAGGTTAGAGCTTCAGGTACATAATACATTTTAAAATATAGTCCCCCAATTTTCCTATTGGTTGAAATAAAATTCCAGAAACCCTTTGTAAGGGCTTGTCCAGATGGCAGAAACATAATGTCGGCAGGCGATGCAGAAACTTCTCCGAAAAGAGCAGCTTGCTTAAGAGGCCCCTGTGCAGAAACGGCTGCGAGGCTCTGCTTTTTTAACATCTGAGCCCAGTGAGCCACCAGGAGCCCTACTTACTCCTCAATGTTCACACTTCCTTCAAAAGCGAATGGAAGCCCTGACCAGTTTGGCTCAGTGGATAGAGCGTCAGCCTGCAGACTGAAGGGTCCCAGGTTCGATTCCTGTCAAGGGCATGTACCTTGGTTGCAGGCACATCCCCAGTAGGGGGTGTGCAGGAGGCAGCTGATCGATGTTTCTCTCTCACCGATGTTTCTAACTCTCTATCCCTCTCCCTTCCTCTCTGTAAAAAATTAATAAAAATATATTTTTAAAAAGGCGAATGGAAAATGTCATTCATTGAAGCCTTGATTTTAGCAATAGTTTCACCACTTGTTGACAATTGGTGTATTGACACCATTGCTGACCACTTATCAGGGGTCCTCAAACTTTTTAAACAGGGGGCCAGTTCACTGTCCCTCAGACCGTTGGAGGGCCGGACTATAGTTAAAAAAAAACTATGAACAAATTCCTATGCACACTGCACATATCTTATTTTGAAGTAAAAAAACAAAACGGGAACAAATACAATATTTGTATTTACATGTGGCCCGCGGGCCATAGTTTGAGGACCCCTGATACCTCATGAGCTTCATCTTAAACTCCTGTAATTCATCATTAGAAATTGCATCTGCTTTGGCAATCACTGGTATCATGCTCACCTTGTTGTCAAGGCTCTTCATGGTTAAGAGATCAAGTGTCTTTAGAGAGCGGCCTGTTGGTGAGATGAGGCAGAGGCCCGTATGGGTCTGAGAAGAGTGGTAGTTGAAGAGATGATGCTTAATCTTCAGTTCTTCTTGGAGCGAGGCCTCAAAATGAGCATCTATGCAGTCACTGTTGGTTGGTAGGTCTCTTCTTTGTTTATTTGGTCACCAAGTCCAACTGTACTCACAATGGCCAATTGTAATCGAACATTACTTTATTGGAGTTCATATGCCTGAATTTTAGGTCTAACATGGGTAAAATTTGAGGATTCACATTCTTCAAAATTAGTAATAATGTATCAATCAGCATTGATTTTCCAATTCCAGTCTCCTCAACACAGAGATTATTAAAACAGAAGCCTTGCTGAATGGATCTATTGACCAGCTGATGAGGCAAACTCTGAAAAGCAACGTAGCCAGACATTGTTAAAAAACAAATATTTTCTATTTTTTTGCAGAAGCTGAGCAAAAGGAGAAAGAACTACTTTCTGCTTCAGACATTAATCAAATCCGTCAAGCCTTACCAGAAACTTCATCGGTACGTTGGTAAATGTTTGACCACCAACTCTGACCACAGCAAGAGAGAGAGAGAGAGATAGAGACACTGATTTCCAATTACTACTAGGATATCAACTGTATTGCAGAATTTGAAAAATCTAACACTAGCTCTCAGTAGCTGCTTGATCTGACACCAGGGCACTACTGTGTTGTGCTGTGCCATTATTCTTATCTGTGGGGTTCAATCAGGGCTTTCCTCATGGGCACACAGCCTGTGCAGTCACATGCAGCCCAGGCTTTTTTAATGCTTTTTTCACTGTCTTGAAATTATTTTTTTTAATATGTTAAAAAAAATTTTAATTTTAGAGAGAGAGGTAGAAGGATAGAGAGATGGAAACATTGAGAGAGAAAGAGAAACACTGATGAAAGAGAAACATCCATCCACTGCTTCCCGCAAGCCCCCTACTAGAAATTGAGCCTAAAACCTGGTCATGTGCCCTGACTGGGAACCTAACTGTGACTTCCTGGTTCATGGGTCAATGCTCAACTGCTGAGACACACCAGCCAGGTGAAATTCTTTGTTTTTTTAATCCTCACCTGAGGATATGTTTGCATTGATTTTGAGAGAGAGAGAGAGAGAGAGAGAGAGAGAGAGAGAGAGAGTGTTTGGTTGCCTCCAGTATGTGCCTAGACCTCAGATCTAACCCGCAACTTAGGTATGTGCCCTCACCGGGAATTGAACCTGTATTTATGGGTTGACTGCCAATGTTCCATCCAACTGAGCCACACTGGCCAGGGCTGTTTTGAAATTCTTAATAATGTATAGCTGTTCTTTCACACTAGGCCCCACAAATTATGTAGCCAGACCTCCCCAGAGGACAAGAATGGAGTTTCTGTGGTGCCCAGCAACGGGAGGGTGGGGAGAGGGGGAAACATGGGGGAATCTGCAATCTGTTCCTCACGACGTGAGCGAGACTGTTGGTAGACAGATGACGTTCTTCCCGGGGTTTTGTTTCTTTCCAGCAGACTCGGGCAGTTCTATTTTGCCAAACTCTGTAACTCTGTCGGCATCAGGGAAGTTAGCTTGGCCTTGGAAATTTTTGTTTTTGTTTGTAATTGTGGTAAAATACAAATATCATAAAATTTATCATCTTAACCATTTAAAAAAAATACCTTTTTATTGATTTCAGAGAGAAAGGAAGTGGGGGAGAGAGAGAGACATCAATGATGAGAGAGAATCACTGATTGGCTGCTTCTAGCACACCCCTCACTGGGAATCAAGCCTGCACACAGGGCATGTGCCCTAACTGGAATCAAACTGTGATCTCCCAGTTTGTGGATCAACGCTCAACCACTGAGCCACAGTGGCCAGGCATATCATCTTAACCATTTTTTAAATGTACAGTTCAGTACTGTTAAGTACATTCACATGGTTGTGTAACCAATCTCCTTCTCAAACTCTTTTTATTTTGTAAAACTTAAACTTTGTAGCCACTAAACAATAGCTTCTCATTTCCCACTCCCCCCAGCTCTTGGCAAACACCATTCTACTTTCCGTCTCTATGACCTTGACTACTCTAGGTACCTCATATACTAGTAAACAGAGTCATACAATATTTGCCTTTTTGTGACTGACTCATTTCGTTTCATGTATAATGTCCTCAACGTTCATCCATGTCAGAATTTTCTTCCTTTTAAAGGTTGAATAATCTTCCATTGTGTGGAGAGCCCACATTTCGTTTATCCGTGCATCCACTGATGGCTACTTGGGTTGCTTCCACCTTTTGGCTACTGTGAATGATGCTGCTATGATCGTAGTAAAAATATCTCCTCTAGATCCTGCTTTCAGTCCTTTTGGGTGTTTATCCAGAAGTGGAATTGCGGATCTTAGGGTCATTCTGTATTTCATCTTTTGAGGAACCACCATACTGTTTTCCACAGCAGCGGCATCCTTTGTACCAATCATACACAAAGGATCCAGTTTCCCCACGTCTTCGCCAGCACTTATTTTCCTGGTTTTTGATAGTAGCCATCCAAATGGGTGTAAGGTGGCATCTCATTGTGGTTTTGATTTTCATTGCTTCGCTCATGATTAGTGATGTTGGGCATCCTTCCGTGTGCTTGTTGGCCATTTGTATATCTTCTTTGGATAAATGGGTTGTTGTTGTTTGTGGAAGTTTTATTTTAAAAATTTTCCGTAGAGTTCCAGTCAAGATGATGGTGTAAGTAAACATGGTATTCAGAACCTCCCAGAACCACATCAAAATTACAACTAAGTTACAGAACAGCCATCATTCAGAATGCCTGAAATTAGCTGAACTGAAGTCCTGTAACTAAGGATATATAGAAGGAGCCACGTTGAGACTGGTAGGAAGGGTGGAGACATGGAACAGCCTGGTCCCACTCCCACGTGTGGCACTGAAAAATAGGGAGGAATATCTCAACTGTGGAGGTCCCCTCTGAAAATACAGGGGTCCCAGCCCAACACCAGGGCCCCCAGGCCAGGGTTCCAGTGCTGGGAAGACAAGTCCCCATCACTTCCAGCTGTGAAAACTAGTGGCTGAGTGAGATGAAGGGCTCCAGGAGTCCCAGGCATTGTGCATGAAGGCCCTACACACCGACTCACTCAGACTCCCTTGCTCTGAAAATTCTCGCCCCTGTGTCTTTGTGGACCTTCCCCTTTGGAAGCAGGGAGTTGATTCTCTTCTTGTCACTTGCCAGTGGCCTTTTCTATGGCTGGAGATTAGGCATCTGTCCTTTTCTGCATCATGTCACTTTTTGTTAACATTTACATTTCAGGTTCATTGTAAGGGATACAACTCAAGAACATCCATATGGAAGAGATCCATAGGGCAAGAGATGAGAAGTGGGAGTGGCAGGGAGCTTCCGTACCTTCTCAGGGCACACCCCCTCAATGTGTTTGCCAACCCAGCAAGTCTAGATTTTCAACTCTCCTCCTAACTCTGTGAATTTCCTGCACTTCCTATTTTATCAACATGAGGGGACTTGGCAAGATGAGCCCGCAAGGAGTAATGGTAGATGTTCCCAATGCACTTTTTATAACTTGGATCAGGATGGCAGAAAGAGATATATTTTCATATACCAAGTTATTCATTGTGACTTGGGAGAAGGTTTACAAATTAGTGGAGAATTCATTTCTTATCTCAATTCAGAGCAAACCGATGAATGCATGGACTATACCAGGCTTTTCTATGGGAGGGTGAAGAGGTGGCTTCCACTTGGAAAGCCTGACATAACAGCTTCCGGGGAATGCAAGCAACCCTTCAGGATTCGGACACCCTCTGTGAGGAGGGAGGGAACCCCCGGTGGCCCTGAGGTGCCAGGCTAGCAGTGACAGAGTGGGATGTTGAGTCTGAGGATTCTGCTATGGTGCTACCTGCAGAGGAAGAGAGGCCAGAGGGAGGGGCTCAGCAATGGTGTGTTTATTTCCTTGAATCCTTGCCCAGAAACCATAACCTCGGGGAAATATTTCAGACTCTGCCATTGGGAGTACCTGCTTGTGAACAAACCGGTTATTGGTTCCACACGCTCTACTTCCCTAGGAATCTTAACTGGGAGGTTATGTGATATGGTGTTGGTGAGAATTACCCATTATTGAGTACGTGTCATGGGCCAGGGCTTATCTCATTTAATTCTTCAATCACATTATCACTGAATGATGAGGAAACCGAGACCCAAGAGGTCTAGTACTTTGCTGAAGACCATGCGGCTAGAAAGGAATGGAGCTGGAGTTTGGCAGTCTGACCCCAGAGCTTGCCCTCCAAACACCTGGCTTCACTGTGTAGCTGCAGGAGCTCAGGCAATGGCTTCACTTCTTTGAAAAGTAAACATTTCTTTCAGTCTTGCAATTCTGCGGTTTCACAGTTAAAACATGGCTCCTTGGGACGTCACCTTCTCCAAGATGAGGAGAAACTCGCAGGTGCACCTCTTTGTATGACAGCAGCTTGGGTCCTTTTCAGTGCGTTTTCTGGTCTGGTGGGTACTAGACTTGCTCAGCGTGAGGTGAGCACCCAGGACAGACCCTTCATCTTAACCGTAGTTAATAACTGACTCAGAGGCTAGGGCGGAGCTCGCCAGCTTCTGCTGAAGTCTGGCTGGTGGGTGAAGAAAAGTTTCAAGAGACATTTTCCTGTTACTGTCCTGTGACAACTCATCCTTGGCTTCCTCTTTATGATGGATCCTTATTCAGAGGAACCATGGAGTCTGCAGAAACCCTGCAAAGCACTGCAATCCTCAGCCAATGCCAAAAGCCTGACTAAGTAATCCCAGGGCTATGGACTGATTTTTGTCTTTCCCAGATTGAGTCTCTGGGCCTTTTTTCTTTTAATTTTTAAAATTGATTTTATTTATTTTTATTTTATTGTTGACGGTATTACAGATGTCCCCCATTTCTCACCCTTTACCCCCTTCCTCCCAGCCCCTGCCCCACTGCAGGCCTTCTCCACACTATTGTCTGTGTCCATTGGTTGTGCACATATGCATGAGTTCTTTGGTTAATCTCTTCCCGTCTCCCCCTTTCTTCTCCTTCGTATCTGCTCAGTGACTCTACCCAAACAAGCTTCTACCGGAAACATTTGATCTGATTCATGTGGTATTGACTCTCAACCCACCTTGTGTAAGGATATCTAAGTGAGGAGATATATTTGAAGAAAATAAGTATTTCTCTTTCTTGGTGACCAAGTAATCCTGGTCTCTAGGGAGATGTTGGGACCATCTGCTTACAGTCTAACTTCTGGAACCAGCACAAAGGTCTGGACAGTTTCTTTGGGGCATCTCCAACTGGGGTCTCACCCTTAGTGGCTTTGAGGGCTCAGAGTTCTTTGTGTCTGTCTTGGTTCTTCTTCCTCTCTCTGTGATCATCTCTGTCCTTCCCACCTTTCTTTCTAACCTTCAGAAGTGTGCTGACACTTGGCTATGAGGGGACGCTATTGCCCGTTCAGTCACACATACTTTTTAAATTATTTCCAGAAAGGGAATTTCTTTTTTATTGACTGATGCCACTTCTTTTCCGTTTGGATTCAAGCTGTACCATGTTTTCAGGAGATCATTTTAGCCACACAGAGGCCCTGCTGAAGCCAACTCAGATAGTTTATAATCATAGGCTGTTTGTGATAGCCTTCAGAAATGATTGTATGTATTTTAAAATCCCCACTGGGATTGCTACCAAAGAGATTTCTCTGGTTTTGGAGGAAACAGATCACTCTGAATCCTACCATCTGAAAAAAAATTACCATTTGATATTTTTGTTGTCTTGTTAGGTCCTTACCTATGCTTTCTTCACTTTGCTAATCCAAAAAGAAAGATGCTTTTGCATAAACCCTGGGTTTTCCAAAGTTAAAAAACATACTCTGTTACTTGACACTGAGAACTGACATTTTGCAATTAATCCAGGTGAAGTCTGAATTTTAGCCAGGGCCTGGCCATTTATTAATTCCAGTCCAGGCCTAGGATCTTGAGAATTCTCTGCCTTTGGTACCAGATAAATGGAATGGTTGGTTAGAAACATTAAACTCTTAAAGTGAAGATTCTCTAATAAGTGGTTCCATCTCTTCTTCTTTCAAGGAGGAAACTGTGTACAGGATGGATCGTAAACATAGAGGCTACTGTGTTGTTATCAACAACCAGAACTTTACCTCACTGTCAAAAAGACAAGGGACTGATAAAGACGCTGGTAAGAAAGGCTGTAATAGAATATCGAATGGAAGCTGGGGATCTTAAAATCATTTTTCATTTTCATATTTTATTTCTGTAATTTTTAATCTTCCATTTAATGTAAGGATGATATTATAAACTAGAGGCCCGGCGCACAAAATTCATGCATGAGGGTGGGGTGAGGTGGGGAGGGTATGTCCCTCAGCTCAGTTTGCAACCTCTCCAATCTGGGACCCCTCAAGGGATGTCCGACTGTCCGGTGTGGGATCGGGCCTAAATGGGCAGTCAGACATCCCTCTCACAATTCAGGACTGCTGGCTCCCAACCGCTCACCTGCCTGCCTGCATGATTGCCTCTAACCGCTTCTGCCTGCCAGCCTGATCAGCCCCTCACCCAGGGGTGGGCAAACTTTTTGACTCGAGGGCCACAATGGGTTCTTCAACTGGACCGGAGGGCCGGAACAAAAGCATGGATGGAGTGTTTGTGTGAACTAATATAAATTCAAAGTAAACATCATTACATAAAAGGGTACGGTCTTTTTTTTTTTTTTTTTAGTTTTATTCTTTTCAAATGGGCTGGATCCGGCCTGCGGGCCGTAGTTTGCCCACGGCTGCCCTAACCACTCCTCTGATAGCCTGATTGACACCTAACTGCTCCCCTGTCAGCCCGATTGCCCCCAACTGCCCTCTCTTGCAGGCCTGGTTGCCCCTAACTGTCCTCCCCTGCTGTCCTAGTCACCTGCAACTGCCCCCCCTGCAGGCCTGGTCTTCACTAACTGCCCTCCATTGCCGACCCGGTCACCCCTAACTGCCCTCCCCTGCAGGCCTGGTCCCTACCAACAGCCCTCCCCTGCTGGCTGGTCCCCCCCAACTGCCCTCTCCCTACAGGCCTGGTCCCCCCCAACTGCCCTCCCCTGCTGGCCTGGTCCTCTCTTGCTGCCCTCCCATGCAGGCTTGATTGCCCCCAGCTGCCCTCCCCTCCTGGCCTGGTTGCCCCCAACTGCCCTCCCCTGCTGGCCTGGTCCCTCCCCAACTGCCCTCCCCTGCTGGCCTGATCACCCACAACTGCCCTCCCCTGCTGGCCATCTTGTGTCCACATGGGGGCAGCCATCTCTGTGTTGGAGCGATGGTCAATTTGCATATTACTCTTTTAGTAGATAGGATGTTTCAAAGCCTCCTAAATACCCCTAGTGTTTTAGTCTATCTAGGCTGCCGTATCAAACAACCGAGACTGGGTGGCTTATAACCAACCAATCTGTCTTTCTCATGGTTCTGAAGGCTGGGACGTCTAAGATCAAGGCTATGGGGTTTCAGTGTCTGGTGAGAGTCTGCTTCCTACATGGCTATCTTCTCACTGTAACCTCACTTGGGGTTTCTTTATGGGCTCAACCCTCATGGCCTAAGTACCTCTCAAAGGCCCCAGTTTCTAATGCCCATACCTTGAGGGTTAGGATTTCAACATGTGAATTTTGGGGAGACACAAACTTTTAGACCATAGCACCTAGAGTTTCAGCAACCTGCTTACAGAGTGAAAAGGGCCCCTGACCACATATGATTCCGTGATGTGGGGGCGAGCATGCTGGGTCAGTTTGAGAAAACCTGTGTTTGAGCTCTGGCTCCACCACTAACTGGGATTTGTGACCACGGGAGAGTCACAGAACCTCAACTCCTCACCCGTGAAGGAGAATGGACTCTGGCCTCTGCTCACTCGCAGGGCCATTGTGATAGCACTGTGGGTGCTATAAAAAGGCAGGTTAATTATAGTTTTGTTGTTATGAGAGTAAAACATAATCCAAAGTTTCAGGATATTTGCTGTGCAGTTTGTATAACTATTAGCATTGTTTGACCCCTTTTATTTCATTTCGCTCCATTTTGTTTCATCATTTATACCCCCCCTTCTTTTTTTTTTTTTTTTTTTTTTTAACAGAGTGCCTGAAGCATGTGTTCCAGTGGCTTGGGTTCAATGTAGATATGCGGGTTGATGTAACTAAAAAATGCCTGGATGAAGTTCTGCAAGAATATAAGAGTCATCCAGACCATGCCAACGGAGACTGCTTTGTGTTCTGTGTTCTGTCCCACGGGCAATTTGGAGCTGTCTACTCTTCAGACGAGGCCCTCATTCCCATCCGGGAGATCACGTCTCACTTCACGGCCCGGCAGTGCCCTGGTCTGGCTAATAAGCCCAAACTCTTTTTCATCCAGGCCTGTCAAGGAGAAGAGATACAACCTTCTGTGTCCGTTGAAGCAGATGCTGTAAAGCCCGAATCAGGAAAGTCTTCCCGTCAGGCCAATATTCCTGAGGAAGTAGATTTCCTTCTTGGCCTGGCCACGGTCCCCGGCTACGTATCTTTTCGTCACAAGACAGAAGGGAGCTGGTATATTCAATCTCTGTATAACTATTTGAAGAAATTGGTCCCAAGGTAAGAGTTTCACATTGTTCTGTCCACCTACCTGTTTATCCATCCATCTATTCACCTACCCATCCATCCATCCATCCATCCATCCATCCATCCATCCAACAAACCTGTATTGAGCACCAATATATAACTGGAAAGGAAGATATGGAATAAAAAAGAGACACAGCCTTGGCCCTCACACTGCTCACAATCTAGAGCAGTGAACCTTTTGAGCTCGGCGTTTCAGCATTTTGAAAAACCCTAACTTAACTCTGGTGCTGTGTCACATGTAGAAAATTTTTGATATTTGCAACCATAGTAAAACAAAGACTTATATTTTTGATATGTATTTTATATATGTAAATGCCATTTAACAAAGAAAATCAACCAAAAAAAAAATGAGTTCGCGTGTCATAGGTTCGCCATCACTGATCTAGAGGGACTGACACGTAGATGGCGAAGAGCATCCCTCTGTGGTAGACATATACTGTAAAGCACAGGTGTTATGGGCACACATAGAACTGGTACCTCACCCAGATTTGGAGGACCAGGGGAAACTTCTAACTGCGGTGAAAGACACGTTGAGCAGAGGGCACAGCATGGAGGCCTTTAATGTGTTCCTTCCTTTATTAATTTATCAGTCATGCATATTTAGTGAGTGCCTATGTGCTGCCTTTAGGCCATATGCTTGGTCTCCTGCCTTTGCTCTGACAACTGTCCTTCTGTCTCTGCCACATGCTCCTTACCTGGTTTCCTGGAAATGGGCCTTCACCAAGGTTCTGCCCTGGACCTCCCCTCCTCTCCTCTCCTCTCCTCTCCTCTCCTCTCCTCTCCTCTCCTCCCCTACCCTCCCCTCTCCTCCCCTCTCCTCCTCCTCTCTCTCTCTCTCTCTCTCTCTCTCTCTCTCTCTCTCTCTCGGTAGTTTTCACTCTCCCCGGAGGCCACTGGCATCTCCATAGAAATGTCTCCCAAATTGCCATCTCTGAGTTCTGCCATCTCTGAAGTTTAGCTTCATCCAATTTTATGTCCTCAGCGCCTGGCATAGTATCTGACATATTGTTGAGCTTGGTAACTATTTGCTGCACCAATGAATGAGTGACCAAGTCAACCTCATTCTGAAGGTCATTCTTACACATTTTCACAACCTGCCAGACGCCCTACCTTTGCGTTGCCCTCGGACCTCACATCCCATATGAACATCCTGAATTCATCTGCTCAGCCCACTCCGGGCACTCCTACTCCCGAGTGCCATCTCTGGAAATGGCCACAATGTTCTGGGAATTTAAAGATAGGGAATCCTCGAGTGACCTAAGCTTTTCTCTCTTTTTGCCAACCTCTCCATCCCCACCATAGCCATCAGAGACTGAAGTCCTATGGCTTCAGAGATGAGGCAATATTTTATTGAGGGATGCTACGTGCCTGCTAGAGCGGACTGAGCTAGAGGCGAGGGCAGTGATGGCGAACCTCTGAAACACGTGTCAAAGGTGACATGCGAACTCATTTTTTTGGTTGATTTTTCTTTGTTAAATGGCATTTAAATATACAAAAAATATAAAAAATATACATCTTTGTTTTACTATGGCTGCAAATATCAAAAATTTTCTATATGTGCCACAGCAGCAGAGTTTATGTTAGGAGTTTTTCAAAAAGGCTGACACGCTGAGGTCAAAAGTATAAGCATCACTGGTCTAGGAGATGGCTGTAAATTAGAGACAAAAAGCTCTTCTACAGGGGCCCCTCCCCCCCGGGGGGGGGGGGTAGGAGGGGGGCTGAGAGGCGCATGTGCGGGGCGGGGGGAGCGGGGGGGGCGGCGGAGCCAGCGACTACCACACCAGCCGCCCAGGACATCCATAAGGACCATGATTCGTGCACCAAGGAGGCAGCTGAATCCAACCATGAGCCCCAGTTTGAGCTCATAGTTTCCTTTCCTGAACAAGAAATGAAAGCCCAGGACGGAGGAAGATGAAGATGAACTTTTCAAAATGCGGGCAAAATGCAGGCAAAGCTGTTTCGACTCGCTTCAGAGAACCATCTCCCAGCCGCCGAGCATGGAAGGAAGGAGGCCTGGCGACGCCCAGCTCCCGAAGCAGAAGGAACATCCGCCTCCTCATGCGGAGGGACCGGACCTTGAAGACACGCGCCCACCCCTCTCTCCCCCATCGATGGGGCCGAACCAGAACCAGAACCGGCGCCGGGCACAGAACACCCAGGCCACTTGCGGATGAGCGCCCCACGCCCCACGCCATCCGCTTCCTCCATGCTGAGCCTGCACGGAAACCAAGACAAAGCTTGAAGAACGCAGGACAGAGAAAAGGGAGGAGGACTGGACAGAAACGATAGTGCCGAGAAAGTGGCCGGAAAGCCAGAAGCTCTTTCGGTGGAGGAGACCCGGGAGAAAGCCGAGGAGAAGCAATAAGTCCTCTGCCCTTTTCTGTTCCTTTTTCCTTTTTAAAAAACACATATTTTTACTTCAGAGAGGAAGAGAGAGAGAAAGATTAATGATGAGAGAGAATCACCGATTGGCTGCCCTCTGCACGCCCCACATTGGGGACTGAGCCCACAACCCGGGCATGTGCCTGACTGGGAATCGAACCATGACCTCCCAATCCGCAGGTCAACGCTCCACCACCGAACCACACCGACTGGGCTCCTTTTTCCTTTTAAAAAAAAATTGCGAAAATGTTCTGGATGGCAACCGGCAGGAAGGTAGGGAGGGAGAGAGTGTGAGAGCGCAAGGAAGTGATAGAGGAGTGTGTGGACGTGTGTGATGTGTGTGTATGAGCTAGGGACAGTTAGATTCTGCAGGTCTTCTAAGGGGCTGCTAAACTGGGCAGTCTTAGGCAGAGCCCTGCTCCCTGCGTGGACACTCCTGGGTGACCAGCACGGGCACAGTGATCATACCATCTTGGGAAACAGAGCTGCTTGAGACTAGGATCCTGGCCTCAGCACCACCCAGTCTGATCTCAGATGCATACCAGGACCCTGCAGCCACTGGGGACAGAGACCTGTGACCACAGCTACAGACCTGCAGACACCAAAAGTTCAGAAATCCCGGCGGCAGATCCGTGAGTAACAGAGCCCATCCCCCTCCCTGCAGGCAGCGCCATAGTAACTGATAGACCCACCCCTTGCCGGGGCCTCAGTGCCACAGGTACTTTAGCCTGGAAGTGCGTGAGCACCTTGGAACTGATCCCGTGTAGGGCGGGCTTCAGGAGCCCTGGGCTGGGAGCAATCTTGCGAACACTGGGAATTTGTTCCACGTAGCACGGGCCCAGGGACCCCGATTCTCTGGGCAGGAGGCAGCACCAAGCACCAGTGACTTGACTGTGTTTCTTATCACCTGCGCCTGAGATCCCTGATTCCTTGTGCATTCATACTAAGAGCCAGTGACTCCAATTCTTGGTGCAAGGGCACATAGGGACCCTGATTCTCAATACGAGGTCGCGTGAAGCAACAGAGACTCTGATACTGGATTCCTGGGGAACTCTGACTCCTGGCGCAGGCTAGGGGGCGCTGATTTTCAACATGCTCCAAGGGGGTCTCTGTTTCAGCACGGTGCAGCCAGGGTCCCTGATTCTAAGGGCGCACACGAGGCCACATTGAGTGCTGGCAACACTGACTCTGAGCAAGCCTGGTTCCCACCAACCCACAACAACAACACATCTTAGTGTCAGAGCTCTTCAGTGACACTAGGGTGGTGGGAGGCTCCCACTGCACACGGCCCAGGCCCACGCAACTCAACGTTTGAACCATTGGAAGATAATCAGAATGAAGAGACGACAGAACACCCAGGGGGAAGACAGTGAGGAGTCACCAAGAAAGGAAATTAATACAATTGAAGCATGCAACATGACAGAAAAAGAATTCAGAATAATGGTTGTACAATTCATTCACCAGATGGATGAGAAAATCAACAACCTATGCAAGAATCAGGAAGAAATGAAAAGTGATATAGCTACAATCAAAAACACCATGGAAAGTTTCAAGAGCAGACTAGAAGAAGCAGAGGACCGAATTAGTGTGTTAGAAGATAGGGCAGAGAAACAAGCTCAATCTGAACAGCAACTGGAGAAAAAAATTAAAAAGCAGGAGGAGAGCCTAAGGGAGCTTTGGGACAACATGAAACGAAGTAACATACGCATAATAGGGCTGCAAGAAGGACAAGAAGAGCAGCAAGGATTAGAAAATCTATTTGAAGAAATAATGACAGAAAACTTCCCAGATATGGGGAAGAAAAAAGTTACACAAGTACAGAGAGTCCCAAGCAAGATGAACCCCAAAAGACCCACACCAAGACACGTCATAATGACGATGGCAAATGTACAAGACAAAGAGAATCTTAAAGGCTGCAAGAGAGAAACAGAGAGTTGCCTACAAAGGATCCCCCATCAGATTATCAAATGATTTCTCAACAGAAACACATCAAGCTAGAAGGGAATGGAAGGAGGCATACAAAGTGTTGCAAAGCAAAGTTCTGAATCCAAGAATACTATATACAGCAAGACTATCAATCAAAATTGAAGGGGAAATCAGGAGCTTTGCAGACAAAAACAGGCTAAGGGAGTTTATCACTACCAAGCCAGCAATGCAAGAAATGCTAAAAGGAATGCTGTAAAAAGAAGAAATATAAAGGTAAGAAAGAACACAGGCACGAAAATAGAAATGACTCCAAGCACGTACCTTTCAATAATAACTTTAAATGTAAAAGGACTAAATGCTCCAATCAAAAGACATCGAGTGGCTGAATGGATAAAAAGACATGACCCATATATACGCTGTCTACAAGAGACCCACCTCAGAAAAAGGGACTCACACAGACTGAAAGTGAAGGGATGAAAAAATATCTTTCAGGCAAATGGAAATGAAAAAAAAGCTGGGGTAGCAATACTTATATCGGACAAAATAGAACCTCAAAGTGAAGGCCATAACAAGAGATAAGGAAGGCCACTTCATAATATTAAATGGATCAATACAACAAGAGTATATAACCCTTATAAACATATATGCACCCAATGCAGGAGCAC